TTTTATTTTTTATATTTATGGCTGGGAGGGGGGGGGGGGATGGAGACATGTTTTTAAATAATGTGGGGAAGTCTTTAGAGCATTTCTGAGTAATGTGAGGAAGTGTTTAAAGTATTTTTAAAGTAATGTTAGGAAGTCTTTAAGGCTAAATGGACTTAAACTGACTGACGGTGTAAAAAAGATGATTTGTCATAAGCCGGTTCTGCAGCTGTGGAGTTTCTTAGGAACTAGAAGTCACGTGTTTTGCTTCTGGACCTGGTTTCATGTTAAAGCTGAACACGGTGCAGCTGTGGTGTCACCTGGACTGGAGTTTATTCAGTTTTCTGCCTCAGGTGAACCAACACTTATAGAAACACTAATTGGTTCAGGGCTCAGATGAGACGTTTTCTTGAGGGACAATGTGAGGAATTGGTGTCAGAGTTCACTGCAGGTCCTCTAGGTTTCTGTTCATTTTATTGCCTCACATTTTTATAATATGGATTATAAGGCATACATGAGCAAAGCTACAGAATAAAAAAGTGTCGATTTCCTGTCCAAACCTTTACGCTGCAGGACATGAGGACACTTCTTTTGTTTTTGGCACACTGCTAAGCGTGTTCATTTTTCTCCCTGATGTCTTTGGTTCTGTCGTTTTGTGGTTGAGATTCTGAGTCGGTATGTAATTTATCTATCTACAAATACTTTGAGGACATGAATGAGTGTAGGCTTCTGGCCTGGTTGGTTGAGTTTGGGAGGAAAATGTTCCCTGTTGCCTAACTTTAACTCTGACATGCACTTGCTGTACAGATGGGAGAATAAATCCTCCAGCCGCTCACCGTAATGCCTGTCTCAGTAACCCGATCGGGTTTGGAGTCATGTTCAGGAATGCCACTCAAAGGAAGCAGAAAGGAAAAGCACAGACGCACTTTTTTAAGGCCTTGCACTAGTCAGAGTTTCTGATCTGTTTTCAATTGATCTTTGACCAATTTTAGCCAATTCCTGTTTCCTCTAGAGCCACATGTAACAGAAATAGATATGTATTGTCTTGGTTTAATTGAAAATCCCCAACACAATTAACTCAAACTGTTTCAAACTTTGGCATGCAGAACTCTACGGAGTCAACCAAACACAGCACAGGTTCATTTTTAGTGGTGGGAAATTGAAATAATTGAAAAAAAGATTCAGGAAGATGCCGGTTAGTTGCGATCAGGATCGTCATTTTAATATCATTGTATTTGCATTTGCACCACAAAAAATTTCCTTGCTAGTTGTTTTGTGCTTCCTCTGGTTTCCTTTTCTGAACATTTCACTACAACCAACTAAATCTCCTACACTCAGTAACAAGTTTCAAAGTGAAAAGCAAACTAACTCCTGATGCACTCAGTTCCCACCTCTAGTCAGCTGTTGTTTCCTTTTCTTTGTCTGTCTGAAGTTTTAGGTCAGTTATCATAACTCTACAGTCGTCCTGTGCAAGACGTCATGTGGCTCTTCATGCCTATAGTCTTTGTTTTTTAATTAAACCAACCACATCCTTCATGGTAGCACGTGAAGACGAGTTTCTCATCACATTAAATGTTTATAATGGAAAACTGTAACAGACTGTGAATTGTCATCCAGACTTAAGGGTAACTGGAGGAAGCAAAAGAAATCATCTCCTTCATTCCTGGTTCTGTTCTGTGTTTGGCCTCTGAATGACGACACGGCGCTGATCAATGCTGCCGATCGGTTCCCGGGGCCCCGATTGGCTCAGTGGAGCTGAAGGACGTTGCGTCCTCTGTGTAAGCGCTGCAGCTGAAGCTCTGACTGCCAGCTGGAGTCTGAATGAAGAGCAGCGAACTGAGCAGCAAAGAGGAGCTTTTGCTTTCAGATTGCAGGTCCAACAGGTGAGCAGCTGGAACGGAGGAGGAGGAGATGCTCTGCATGCACCGGCGACGAAGGAAGGGACTTTATAATCCAGCTGTCACTACGGGATCGATTAATGCTTTTAATGGCGTCGGTAACAGGAAGAGTTGTGATTGCTAGACTCTTTGCTTAGTGTTTGCAGTTTCTAGCGTCGTATTTAAGCTAAAAGCAGGAAGCAGTCGGGTTAAAGCTGTGTGACTGACCATCTCTGTGGTGTATGTGGGTCACAGAGCCTCCCTGTTGCTCATCGATTAGTGATTTGGTGATCACTCAGGAAGGAAAGTCGATTTCTCTGCTGCCCTCCAGCTACAAATCTTCATCCACTTGAATCTCTGAACTCTTTCACCAGATGATCATGCTGGATTCCCAGTTTAAAATGTCCAAAACTTTGGCAGTAGACTAGTTTTTCTTAGTGGCAGTATTCGTTTAAAACATTCATTGGATGGAGATGTGAGTGGATTAACTTTCCATAAAACATTCAGTGACTCTTTGGGTTATGTAACTGCAGCTGGGACTCAATTATTTCTGTTGCCCGAATGGATGGAAATCAGTGTTTAAAGACTGAATGGTTTGCTGTGCAGAAATAAAAAATAAAAAAAAAAGCATACACAGCTGAGCTCAAAATGCCTTCATTGATTCACTAAAGCAAACAGTGGATCCATGTAAGCTGCAGCCATACCATCTATCTGCTAAATGGTATGCAGCTCCAGTTGTTCTTCATTTCTATAACCTGTGATTTCATCATTGTCTTCTTCCATCTTCCTCGATCCTTTCACCTCACTGCTCACATCTCTCGAACCTTGTGCGCCTGATTTTCCCTCTTTGGACCCTCCTTTCCCATCTCCATGCTGGACATCTTCTCCACCCGTTCCCTTTGTCGTGACTGGAGATTGCAGAGTGCAGTGTAGCTCCCATTGCGATGGAGGACAGTGACCACGAGCCGTCCTCTTCGTCAGACGAGCAGGACTCCTGCCCGTCGTCGCCCAATCAGATCAGGCACCACAATGCTGCACAGGTACACCAGGGAAGCTTTCTGAGGGGCCTAGTCAAAGTCTGCGCTTAAATCGGATTTATAGTGTGTGGTATGACCTTCACCAGGCCATTCACATTCATATTTATCTAAAACAGATATGCAAAGAAAAAACATGTTTTCCTCCACAGTGATGTGAAAAACTGCAGTTATCACAATCAGAGATTAGTATGGACAAGGATAAACTTGAGTTCAAATGAACAGTAACTCATAGTTGGAAATTAAATTAAGGTAACGTGCAAGGAGTTACAATCTACTGACAGAAATTAGTGCTGCTGATGTTCACCCAAACTTTCAGTCTTGTGATAAAAGAGCAGCTAAGTGTCCCAACATTTGGCTCGTTGCTCTTGTAGTTAAAGGCTAATTTTCCTGTTTGTACCAGTGAAAGCTTTTCTTGTCTGCTTGTAAAAACACAACTAAATTATCAGAAACATGTTGTTAAATAACCAGTTTGGCATTGAATGTTTGTTTTAATTTCTCTTCAGAATCTCTTTGTTTAAGCTGTTTTTGTGAAACAACATGAACATAAAAATGACTCCATCTCTAAAACCATGTGCCCTCTTGGATCTCTTCATCTTTCCCTCTACTTTTGGCACCATTTCCTCCTGTATTTCTTTTCTTTTTTGTTCCCCCTCCCCCCCCCATTCGTTTCTCTCCTCCTCACCACATCCGCTCCGGCCTCGGTGTGTCTCTAGCATTTGAGCCATTCAGACGACTCCGAAGTGGAGAACATAATACACGACCCTCCGCATCACGGAGGGAACGGCCCAAACCATGAAGCTCACGATGCAGACGGCCAAGACCGGCCCGTCACCCCGTCTCGCTTGCAGCCCCCCGCGGCGGGTCGAGCCCAGTCAGATTCGGGTTCAGATACCAGCTTGTCGCAGAGCAGAAGTGTGGAGTTTGACTTGCCGTCTCCCATCAGCCCCGGCAGGCCGAGGAGCCCCTGGGCTCTGTTTGATCCGTACAGCAATAATGAGGTAAAAACGAGCAGACTGAGTAAACCACGGAGGATGACCCACCCATACGGCCAGCTGTGCTGTAAAGGCTTTGACGTGTTGATGCAGACAGTTGTTTTTAAATCAGTGTGCTGGTGTATCTGAAGAACAAGTTAGCTGTTGTTTGTCTTGTCGCACGTTTAGTGGTGTTGACTAAACTGGGAGCAGAAATCTCATTTTAAGGATGTGTGTTTTTTATTGAAACTTATTGCTAGAAAGTTAGAAAGCTCAATATAATTAATATTTAATGTATAAATCAAAAGGAAATAAACCACTTTTTTTTTTAAAGATGTTTTTGGCTCTAGTGGCCTTTATTTGATAGTTAATTGACAGGAAAGTGGGAAATGAGAGAAGGGGGAAGACATGCAGCAAAGGTCGCCAAGGCCGGGAATCGAACCTGCGACAGCTGCGTTGAGGACTAAGGCCTCCATATGTGGGTTGTGCTTAACCCCTGCGCCACCACAGCACAACCCATGAAAATAAACCACATTTACATTAGTCTTACCCTCTGTCCTACTCTAAATTTGACTGAATTAGTTTACATATTGCATTTATAAAAATCATCCATCCATATGTTTTTGTTTTCCTTTTTTTTTTTTTACTCTTGCTAGTAGATCCTGGCTTGTGGCGGCCAAGCGTTCATAGCGACGTCGCTTTTTGATCTTTCGATGTCGGCTCTTCCTATCATTGTGAAGCAGAATTCACAATGATAGTGTTAGCATGTTAGTTGTACAAATAAAATACATTTCAGTATATCTGTTGCTATGTTCACGAACAACATAAATGAGTTGTGTCCCAACTCTCGGCCCTGAGGAACCCCATGAGTCACTGTGTTTCTTAAACAGCTTTTTATCCTTTCAGCCTCTTTCCTCCAAACAAAAATTTTTTTTTTGAATTATTAAGAAGAATATAGCAAAAGATAGATTTTTTTTTTTCTTTAGCTCATCATAATGTCACAGCTGTTGGACTTTTTGGTCTTAAACAATCTTAATGTTTTCAATATTTTTCTAGACTAATAATAAACTGCTTTTGCTGTTTTTTGGGGGGGGGGGTTTCTCTCAGTTTTGAGTTTTCCACACAATCCTGATTGAGTTTTCCGTCTGCGTTTACTTTTAGGACCCGGACAAGGAATATGTGGGCTTTGCAACATTGCCAAACCAGGTGCACCGCAAATCTGTGAAGAAAGGGTTTGACTTCACCCTCATGGTGGCTGGTAAATCCCGTATTTACACTCTTCTAGACATTCGATCCTAAACCCACCTTTGACTGCAAAGAGCCTGCTAATCACAGCACTTCGAGCCTCGCTGATTTCGTCTCTGCTGTTCTTTGTTTTAAGGCGAGTCTGGCCTGGGAAAGTCCACCCTGGTCAACAGCCTGTTTCTCACAGACTTGTACAAAGATAGGAAGCTGCTTAATGCTGAAGGTGAGTGAGCTGCAGCTTTGACCTCTGGGGGCGTTTGCTGTGCTACGGCTGATATTTGAACTCTTTCCTCAGAGAGGATCACACAGACGGTTGAGATCACCAAACACACTGTGGACATAGAGGAGAAAGGTGTGAAGCTGAAGCTCACCATCGTGGACACCCCTGGATTTGGCGACGCTGTCAACAACACTGAATGGTACATTCAGACTCTGTTTGGTGAGTAAAGGGGTTAAAACGTCTTGTGAGCTCACTGGCCGTCTCTTTGGGTTGCAGCTGGAAGTCAGTGGCGGACTACATCGACCAGCAGTTCGAGCAGTACTTCAGGGACGAGAGCGGCCTGAACCGCAAGAACATCCAGGACAACCGTGTTCACTGCTGCCTTTACTTCATTTCACCCTTCGGCCATGGGTACGAGGACGCTGCTGGTCCCTGCAGTTGGCCTGCTTGGTGTTTGGTTTTTCCTTTCCTAGGGAACAGTAACATTCTCCTAATGCAGTTCAACATGTTTATGTGAGAGCCAGAAACCAAACTGGGCTTGTTGACATCAAAAATAAAATCTAAAGTTCTTCAGGGTTCCTCCATAGTTCTGAAAAGTGTTGGACTTCATATAAGCATTTTGAAATTCTCTTAATGCTGGCTTTTAATTGGTAGCCGACATGAAGGTTTCATCCACCCATCCGTTGGTTCCTTCGATCATCATCATCATCTGTTTATCCGTCCAGACAGATGATCTGTGGGAAAAAATCAAGCTCTTCCTCTTTCTCCCAGTGCTTACTACCGTTCAGTCAAAAACAACCAATCAGAGCCAGGAGGAGGGCCTTGGCGCCGTCAATCACCCTCCACCTCACTCTCTACGCTACAGCGCTCCACAAAGGAGTCTTGCTCATTGTAGTTATCATGGCCACCGATGACAGCGAATAAACAGTTTTCCTGTAATGAAACATTGAGCAGCACGTACGCGAGGGTCATTGACAGCTCTATGACCTTCCTCCTGGCTTTGAATGGTTGTTTTTTTGTTTTTTTTTAAAGGTTTTATTGCCTCTAGTGACCTTTATTTGAAAGTGCAATTACAGGAAAGTAAGGTAATGAGAGAGAGGGCAGACATGCGGCAGGCCGGGATTCAAACCTGCGACGGTCACCAAGGCCTCCTTATCCTCCTCATGTGGGTTGTTTTTAACCCCTGCGCCACCACAGCGCCCCCTCTGATTGGTTGTTTTTCACCAGAAGCGGTGCATTTCTTCAGATGGGAATAGTGACACCGAACCAGGTAACGCAGCAGCTCGCTGACGCCTTCAGGAGACGTCAGATCCTGTGCGGCTCTTTCACATCGATGAGCTGCTTTTGCTGATTCGGTGCTTTGAGTCACATTTGTTCGCTCTCACTGTTCCACTTCGCTGTGCTCCTCATTGACCAGACCCCCGATAAAACAATCCTACAGGACTTTACAGAGTTAAAGGTGTGGAGAAAGGGCTCCCTCTGCTGGTTAGTGACAGCAATTACTTATCAGATGCCACTCCACCTGTCTATTCATGCTAAACAATGGGTTTATCAGACATATAAAATATAAATGTATACTTCAGTGCACATTTAGAGGGATCTGCATTTCCACCAGAATAGATGGATGTTACAGGCATCGTCTGTATCAGAAAATCATCCTGAAGTTGTTCCATAAAACGTACGGTCGCTGAACGACAGATCGGTGTGTTTCTGCTCCTTCCAGCCTTCGGCCCCTGGATGTCGAATTCATGAAGGCTCTGCATGAGAAGGTCAACATCGTACCCATTCTGGCCAAAGCCGACACGCTCACCCCGAGCGAGGTCAAGAAAAAGAAAATCAAGGCAAGACCAAACATCTGTAGATCTGAATACCGATGGTGAAATTACGTGGCGTTTTCATCTGTAGTGATGCCTAAATGCTTTCAGCCAATCACATGCTGTCCCTGCAGATCAGAGAGGAGATTGAGCAGTACGGCATCAAGATCTATCAGTTCCCGGACTGCGACTCCGACGAAGATGAAGAGTTTAAGCAACAAGACCTCGAGTTGAAGGTGAGAGCCAAGAGCAAAAAACCTGCCGAGTTATAAACAACCTGCACTCTAACTGCGAATATTTATTGTTTTTTTGTTTTTTGTTTTTCTTAAGGAGTGCATCCCTTTTGCAGTAATTGGCAGCAACACGGTGGTGGAGGCCAAAGGGAAGAGGGTGAGGGGTCGCCTCTACCCCTGGGGCATCGTAGAGGGTAATTCGCAAACTAAACTGGTTTCTAGTGACAAACATGTGACTTATAGAGAAGCTGAGCCGGATGGTTGCTCTGTTTCAGTGGAAAACGCCGCCCACTGCGACTTCATCAAGCTGAGGAACATGCTGGTCCGCACACACATGCAGGACCTGAAGGACGTGACCCGGGAGACTCACTACGAGAACTACAGAGCCCAGTGCATCCAGAGCATGACCCGCATGGTGGTCAAAGAACGCAACCGCAAGTACGTCCACCGAGCGCCGCCAGCGATGACCCTGCATGGCGTGGCGAATAAAAGCCAACCCACGTCTCTCTCTCTCTCTCTTTCTCCCTGCAGTAAGCTGACCAGGGAGAGCGGCACCGACTTCCCCATCCCCGCCGCCCCCGCAGCGTCGGAGAGCGAGAAGGAACAGCTCATCCGAGAGAAAGACGAGGAGGTACGGACCGCCGGCCGCGAGCCAGAGTCGCATCCCGAGTCTCAGCATGGCTCTGAGCACCATGAGTCCCCAGACCTCCAGGCCAGCAGAGGAACGAGCTCAGACCCGAAAGCTGACCAAGCCCTCTGATGACCATTAGCTCATAACGTCCTCTGAGCCAAGACTGAAGGAGATGTTTATACGGGAGGAAAATAGTCACAAAATGAGTTACAGACAGATTTATTTTTGAGTCAAATAATAAGTCAGAGGAACTAAAAACCTCACAACTATTTAATCATCAGAATAAAATGTTCAGGAAAATAATACACGTTACACCAGGAATACAGTAAACATGTTGATTTTTGGATGGATTCATGTTTCAGGATGGTTCTGGCCACAAGTTTACATGCACTCGTCACCGTGGATGTCGTATTAATCTGGGGGTTTTATTTAAATCATTAGTTTTACATGGTGAATTTATAATGAAATGAAAAATAAGGTACAATTTGAAATTACACACACAAGCTCAAATTTATACCAACACCTCCGCTAATATCTGGTCTCTCTGGATGTTTCCTTCCCAGGTTGCGGAGAAATTTGTTGCCGTCATCAAGCTTCTAGTATCGCTACCCGAGTCTGTTTGTTTTCATTTTTATTCTAGGATTTAAAAAAAATGTCAAATTAATAATAATAATAATAATAATAAATCCTGATGATGAGAGTACAAACCTCATGACAAACGAGATCAATCTCAGGATATCATTAGTCAAGTCTGGATCATTTATTGAGTAAAACTGAGTGAAGGTAAGCACCAGTTATAGTACAATAGCAAACATTATTTATCAATAAATTTATCTGTTATTAAAGATGCCTTCTATACAATGTTCCCAACATTTCAGTTCCTGACAACCAAATATTTTATGTTTGACCTTCATGAATATTACAGCAGATGATGTGTAAATAATAATGTTTCGTTATCCCTCTCCTTCCTCCGTTGAACCCTGAGAAATCTATTCATTCATGGAAATAAAGACTCATTTTTTCCCCTCATTTCTTTTTATTTCCTTATGAGAGGCACGTTTTATAAGAACATAACTGCAGACTCCCTGCAGCTCACATTAATGTGTTGTTATATCAACGCTCCTGCTGGGAAACCAGGCGGAGGCGCCGCCGCCTCCTCCCATCCCGTCCCAGATCACGTGACCCCCGCCGATCACATGATCTTCCCGGTGTTATCGATTAGTTGTGTGTGCAGTCATGCAAATGAAGCTGATCTCCTCCTCCTCCTCTTCTCTCCTCACAGCTGCGGCGGATGCAGGAGATGCTGCAGCGGTATCAGGATCACTTGATCACCCAGAAGGACGGATGTTAACGAAAGACTCAGCATGCTTAAAAAAAAAAAAAAAAAAAAACGCAGAGAGAGAAAACACCCAGACGTCCTTCATCCCTCACCCTGAACACTGAGATCCCGGGGGTGTGTGTGTGTGTGTGTGCGCGGGTGTGTGTGCGTGTCTCCTCAGCTCATCAAGCATGCGACTCACCAGCCGGGTGAGGAGACGGTAAGACCTCAGAGACTCTCTCTGCTGAATCTAACAAGCACCTGGTTACATATCAGAACTTTAATTCAGATCACAAAGTGGCCACATCACTTTCCTCATGTCGTCGTTTTCTCTCTAGGTCGTTCTGCATGTTCTTTTTACATTTTGTACGTCTTCCATATTTCTGTTTAATCACACCCAGCCACACTCCTCCACCTTATATGGGTAATATTGATTTAGTCTCCTCTGACACTCATGCTCTTATTGGTTAATTTTTTTTAATGTATATTTGTTGTTTGAGTGTCTAACTATTTAATTTTGTTCTCACCTCCAACGCCTCGCTCCGTGACGTCACGGATGGTTTCTGCGTCTTGGTGACTTCACATATTTACTTACTGATCTGAAATGTCAGCAAATGACTTCCACAGTTATTAGCAGTTCTGGTAAAGATGAGTAAAAACCCAATTTGAAGTGATTTATTGGTAGCTGTTCAAATCAAAGGTATGTGAAAACTTGATGTTGGCAATCTGAGTATCCGTGGTGCTTCAAAAATAGAGACCCAGTGAATTTATTAAAATAATAATGAAGTTTGGATTTTTCTGTTTCTGTTCCGAGTCGTATAGGGCCAGTAAGGATAAGGGATGTTTTTATTTTAAGGCTTTTTACACACCTGCAGCAGGGCTGCTGATGAATGTGGAGGACGCTGTGAACCACTGATTTACTTCGCAGTTTGTCTGAAGTTGTTTCGCGTCGGCAGAGGATTTGGAGCATGAGGTGTGGTGGCTGCAGTGGACGGTGTATTTATTTCTGCATGCAGTTTTCTAACGACGAGCTCAGACTGCAGGTTTTCTTTATGAATTTTGGGGGGTTTTCTTGGAAAAAATGTCAGGAACAATGTGGGGGTTTTTTATGGTTTGATTGGATTTAGTGATGTTTTCTTTCTTTACGGTAACTCTAGTTGGGGGACGGTAAATGTTAACACTAGTCCTTAATTATTAAATTTGAATTTATCTTACGGAGCTTCATTTTGGGTTTAAACGTTTTGACATTCCTCTTGCTTTTGTCAGTAATATTATATTTCTGTTTTTTAAATTTGTTTTGTATTAAACCTCTGTTATTTTGTGTTTCTTGGAATATATTTATGTATTAAATTTATACGTTGGTTTTGGAGGAAAACATGAATTACAATGTAATAACTTTACAGTTGTATTGTAATAAAATATTTTGAAACTCTCTCTGTTAAAAATCTTATTTCTGTGCTTTGGAAATACTTTTTTTTTTTTATCAAAATACTTTTATTTTGGTATCTGACATCAACAATTTTAAGGAAAATTAAATAAAAATCAGCTGCAGTAGTTTTGGCTGTACACAGACGAAGAAACTGTTTGAAAAACAGGAATCTGCTCCAGTCTTCAGACAAGCCTCATGTAAGTGGTCTTTTCAACTTGAATTTAATGATGAAACTAATTTATATAAACCATGATTTGCTTTTCTGAAGTAATTGTTTCCAATTTAGTGTCACCTTGAAATTTAATGATGAAAGGATGGAGCCTCTACCGTGCCTTAATGAGGCAGGCTGGTTGATTCATCATGCAGGTCGAGCTGCTTCCATTTTTTTTATCATCTTTTATAACACATTTATAAACCAAACAGCAGATCCAACTTTCCCACACTTATGACAGCTAAACTGAAATTAATCCTCCCATTTTAGGAAGTAATGCTGTAAATTAACCGAAATTAAATAAGTCTTTGACGAATTTAATATTTAATTTCCGGTAAGGAAGCATTTTTGAATTGAACAAATTCAGTTCCGTTTATTTATGTAGCACCATTTCCATACACTTTACCGAACGATGATCCTCAGGAAGGTGACAGTAACTGAATATCCAGAAATAAGTTGATGCGTTCAAGTACAAATGGCTCAGTTCAAAAAGTGAAAAGTGTGTACATTTTATTTCTGTTCATTTTGATCAGTTGAGTAACTCTGATCAGGATTGTTTGATATGGTCCAACATCCCTGAACTTAAATATTAAATAGCAAAGAAGCAAAACATTTGTAAACATAATAGAATTTATTTTATAAATTTTATATTTGACATTCTTCAGAGTGTTTTTTTTTTTGTTTTTTTTTTTACATAATACAGTTAGATCTATATGCAGTCCAACATTTACAAACTTATATACACCTTGAACTTTCTCCATAGGGAAAAACACACCAGTACTCTGTTGCTTCTTCAAGTACATTTATCCCTGTGAACCTTCCGGTTAGTTTTGCAGCGACGCGGCGCAAAAAAAATGTAGTCGACCAAAAATCATTTGCATATAGTAATGACATTGGGAGAAGTTTTGTATTATTTTTGTCCTGGAAAAGGGAAAAAAAATGTCCCTGCGGTAATATTACAAAATACAAAAACACGAGGGAAAAATCTGTTAAAGTGGCCGAATGTGATACCGGAGGTCTGTGTGGTCGTCGCCACCCTTATATACAGCAATATTTATTTATTTTTTTTACATGGTCCCAGTGGAAAACAATTAGAAAATTTACATTAAACACAAATTATTCATCAGGACAAATAAGCAACAGTACAAATTCAGCTGTAAATGTTTCACTCTACATATTTTAGTAATGTGATCTTGACGTCTGTGACGCGTCGCTCCCTTCCCGCCCACAGGTCAGTACATTCAGGTTGAGAGAGCTGCTGTGTCGCCGCACTCACACAGTAGAAATGTTCACAGTGCAGGCTTTGTTAAAATATGATTATTCCCATCAGGTGCTGACGTTTATACCCATGTCAGAGTAGTCGCTGTGGATTAATGTGTTTCTGTTGAGCATCGGTATTTGTCATGTGGTCATAAAAATATATAAACCAGGCTGCTGGGTAGTTCGACGCAGCGACTGATTCTATTTGGCAAAAATATTTGGTACTCTAAGCAGTAACAAAAACACGACTCTACATGTGTACGACTGCAGGTAACAGAAAAAACTTTGATTGTCGAAACCAAAACTGCACATTATTTTACTGTAAAAGGGCGTTATCTGGTTATTATCCTTCAGTATATTCATGATCGGAGTGGTTTTACACCGCACTGACAGGAGGGGGCGCTGTAGCAGTGTGCAGCGTCAGCGCTGACTCCAGCTGTGGTAGAGTCCGGTCCAGGATTTAGCTCCAGCTCTGCAGCATGTGCTGCTGCTGCTGCTAGAGGAGGAGCTGCTCTAAATCAGAGTCCAGCTCAGATCATGATGTGAAAACATCTTCTGCTTCTTGGTCTAAAAAAAAAGCACATGCACCCGTTTGCTTTGGGCGCATGCTGATGACCTCATGCAGCCCTGATTGGCTCCCTGCTGGCTGTCGGTCTGCAGTGTCCTGCCCTGCTGATCCCAGTCCTGGACCGCTTCCCGCCTCGGCTCTTTCCGCGCCTCTCAGGCCAGCTTCAGAGTGCTGATGGGGAAGGAGGGCATCGTCACCATGGTGACGGGGTTAAGCACCGTCTGACCCATGAGCTGCGGGTGGTGCGCCATCATCTGAGTGCTCACCGCCGCCTGCTTGCTGACGATGGCAGCAGCGGCGGCGGCGGCTGTGGCCTGGGTGGAGGAGGTCCCGTTGATGTGCGGGTGGGCGATGTGGCCCACCACGGTCGGCGGCTGCGGGTAGAGGGCCGGGATGTGCTGCCCCAGGTGGGCCACCGGGTGAACGGTGATGTGGCCGATGGGCTGAGGACTGGGGGCCAGCTGCATGGAGCTGCTGGTGGTACAGGGGGCAAGGGTCACGTGTTTGGGGGCCCCTCCGTGGAGAACGTGGTTCACTGCCTGGATGACGGAGGGGTGGGAGACCGAAGCGTGGGCGATGACCGTAGGATGCAGGCTGGCAGTGGGCTTGGTGGGGATGGAGGGAGGGCTGGGAGCGCTGCATGCCGGAGCGGGGAGGATGGGCGGGGCTACTGGGTTCAGTGGGAGGGGCTGCAGCAGGGGGGCTTTGTTCAGGGTGGAGATGTGCTGGGTGATGATGGAGGCGGTGGTGGCTGGGGTCACAGCTGGAGTCTGGGTGACGGCCTTGAGCAGCTCGGGCTTCATGGTGTGGGGCGCAGCGGGCGAGACGCTCGGCGCTCTCTGAGCCGACTCTTCCTCCAGGTCTTCCTCCATTCCTTCCTCACCCTCTGGAACAACAACAGCACTCACTGTCAGTCTCAGGAGCATCATGCTGGGATTTATCACGAACACAAAGTAGAACATGAATGTAAAATGGAAGGAAGTCGTGTACTTGTTGTATTTAACCCCTTCAGTCTAAACCTGTTGGCAGCAGGGACGGCCTCCTGGGGCGTCTTTACGGTTTGCCTGAGCCAAACAAACATTAACGCTTTGATCTATTGATCATATTGAAGCACTGGCTTTATGTCTGAAAGTGTTGTACTGCTGGAGTGACCTCAGTCTGACTGAATGTCTCCAGAGATCTGAAAAAGCTGCACAGACGTCTCCGTCCAACCTGATGGAGGTGGAGAAGAAGAGCGGAGCAAACTGCCTGAAGACGAAGCTGAGCTGGAGGCTTCATATGAGACTGCAAAAGCTGCCGAAGGTGGATCAACAAGTATTAAGAAAAGGCTGTGACATTTTCAATAAATTTCCAAAAATCTCAACTATTTTTCCACATTGTCACATTGGGGTTCTCGTGTGTAGACCTTTTCCCTGCCCTCTGCATAACGCTGCCTCCAGGTGGACCCGGTTCAGATGATGAACAGATCAGTGTCCTTCACAGCATCCCACTGAGATGCGGTGGGGCCAGACATGCTCACCTGAAGCGGTGGAGGTGGAGGCCTGGTCCTCCTCCGGCTGCCCCGTCTGTCTGAGGACGCGGTCGATCTCCACCACGTCCATCCACTGGCTCACGTCGTTCTTCAGCTCCGCCAGCCGCTGCTGCGTGGCGATCTTCTCTCTGGCCAGCCGCTCCATGTCGTGCTCGTACTCCTTCTCTTTGCGCTTCAACGTCTGGAAACAGATGGAAGCGCCGGGTTGATGAAGGCGGATCGACGGGCAGAGGTTCAGAGCTCGTAATGTAGGTTAATATCTTTAAATATATGGTTTCAACTGCAAACATTTTCAAAATTTAGGCTTTTAACCAAATGTTAGATTGCACTTTAATTCAAAACTGTGTAGTTTGATTATCGAGCATTTTGAGGACTTTATACAGAAATCAAACATTTTCCAGACACTCAAAAATCCCCTTTTTGAAAATCTTGGAAAATTCAAGCCTTTTTGAGGATTTCAAGCATCCGTGTGAACCTCGGGGATAAAGCTTCGTAAAACGAATAAGTTTTACGGATAAGTTCTTAAGCCACATCTGGCTTGGTGGGAAAATGGTCTCATTCTGTTTCACTATAAATGAACCTCATTCACATTAGTGGAGAAAGCGTGACTTATTGGCAGAATTAGCTGCTTTTTCTGGTGTAACAACAGATTACGTCCTGTGAGCAGCTCTTGTGATAAAAGATTTTAAACACTGAGAATAAAAAATTTGCCAGATTTTTAAGCCGATTACTTAAAATTATTTATTGTGCTGCGCAGGAGACAAAAATAACAGAGCTGCAGCGTGAAGGAAGGAGGAGTATGAAAGTAGGAGGCGCTTCCTGGCAGCGGCTCCTTGTGACCCAATTCGCCTTCGCCAGCTGACTGAGCTGGACTTCCCTGTCCGAGGCGTCAGGAGGAAAACGCATGAAAAAAACCTGACCACACAACCAGAAACCCTCAAGGAAATTAGCTTCAACTAAAGACTGAGCCCAGCATGACAAGACAAGACCAACTGTGTTATTATAATATTTTGAAACTGAGCTCTATAATTATACTAGTGTGGCTCCTTTATCCAACACGCGCTCTGGTGAGGAGGGAAGTGGCTCTGTGAAACCTGATGACTCAGGATCATAAAGCCAGTTTCTCCAGGGGTGGACTTCCTGTTCACAGGGTGAACGAGAAAAAGGGGAGGTTGTGTGTGTGTGTGTGTGTGTGAGTGTGTGGAGGGGCTGTATGAAGTAGCAGCAGCATGAGATGGGAAAGGTTTGAGCTGGCCTGCTCTCTGCACACGTCCCACAGCACAACGCTGCACATGAACGCAAATAGCAGAGGGGAACAAAAGGCGGGCCGAGTGTGAGTCGGCACCTGTCTCTCTTTAGTCCTGATCCAGGATTAGAAAAACACGGCCCGAACACTCTGAGGCTTTGCTGCGCCGCTCTGCGACGAGGCCGTCAC